TCCGGATGATATGGTTACTGCTATTCACAAACCTATTATTTGTTATTTATTTACTAACTCTCGATTAATAATAACACTTAAACAGACTACTTTTTTAATATGTTACGGATAAATTGATAATGCAATTTCTTTTTTCCCCATTGTTCTATTGTTTGACGGTAGTTATTTTGTGTGTGGATTCTTTGTATTTAATAGTATACTCATCCACTAAGTTTGTTTACGAAATACCAATTTGTTTTATATATCTTTATGTATTAAAGTCAAATCAATTAAATAGACTTGCACTAACGCACAAGAATGATTTTTTTACGCTTTTAATCTGTTCAAATTATTTCTTAAAAATTTGCATTGCTTTCCAAACAGTGGGATATGACTATCTCACTGGTGTTTTGCAATATTTTCACTCAAGAAACTCGTTAAATAAACAGCATTATTTGTTTCTAGGAAGTTAACTGCGAAAATGAAGAACAATTAAGTGATGGCGTGTGATGAATAAACAGGCAAAGACAATCAGTATCGTCTATAATAAACAATTGGATGTTAGACAAGTGATATGCACATAATGGCCAAGTTCATCTTAGTAACACTGCTAATGTGCGTCGAGTATTCTGGAGGAAATGATTTGGCTGTTATTGAGAAGCGATCGATGAACGAATTTGAATGCAACCGTTACTATTCTAAAAGATATTCAGTACTGAGGATAGAAAATGGTGTAACTGATGCACAAATTAAAGAGTGTTTAGAGACCAGCAATTATATTAAGGAATTGTCGCTACGAAACAGTCATTTAAGTAGTATTCCAAAGTATTTAAATATACTGGGAACTCTTGTGTATTTAGATTTATCGTACAACGCTATAACGGAAGTTACATTTGAAGGAATCGAAGGCATTTGTCAACAACTTACTCATCTTTTACTAAACAATAATAACATCGAGGTCTTGCGAAAGGGGAATCTTGATTGCTTACAATACCTTCAATATCTTTACCTTGGAAACAACAACCTTAGATATGTGGAAAATGGAACATTCAGTGAAAAAATGAAGAGCATAAAATATATACATTTAGTTAATAATAGTCTAACAGTTTTAGACTTTAGTTTACTAAGTAAACTGAAACTGTCTCATAATACAAGGCTAGTTATAAACGCATCATGGAACTTTATTACAGGAATGACTAATTCGGCAAACATAACGATAAAGGATTTCACCACTCAAACCTCTATAAGCATTATTGCAACCCATAATAACTTGACAACTGTTAACACCAAATATTATTTCCAACTATTGAACATCACAGATACAATGCAATTATTACGACTGTGGGCCTGCGGGTTCGACGTGCGTTTTAATCCGTTTATTTGTGACTGTGCACTTTTTCCTTTAGCAGACGCGCTTAGAAGGTTTAGACACATGGATCCTTACAACCATTTATTTTCAGTGACATGTGGAAATCCTCCAAGTCTGGCAGGAATGATGCTACGCAAAGTTCCAAAAAATCAGTTTAATTGTTCTGTTGAACTCAATTGCCCAAATAAATGTATATGTAACAAAACTGAAGCACTCAGCCTCGTAACCATCCACTGTGATGAAAAGTATTTTGAAAATAATCTCCCAAAGACATGTCCATATGCTGAAAGGATAAACCTCAATATCAAATCTAACAAATTGACAAAACTCTCTTCCAGAGAATATCTTGGTAATGTATCACAATTTGATGTATCTCAGTGTGCAATTACAACCATAGATACATCGTTTGTTGACATGATACAAGATGCCCGTTTCGATGCTTTATTATTAAATGATAATAAACTTGAAACGATACCAAGATCTTTTAAACACCTTAATTTCAGCAATGGACAGGTCCTTGCATTGGATGGAAATCCATTCATTTGTGATTGCCATACACGATGGATGAAAATTTGGCTTCGTTCGAACAAAAAGTACATTTTACGACGGAATAACATCAGATGCGCAACTGGACCAGGTGAGGGCAAGCCAATACATGAAGTACCAGACAATTTATTTATTTGCCAAACTTTTTCAAACATCGACGGACTACTTTCCGTGATTGGCTCAATTATATTTGTCGCTCTTCTACTTGTTATATTGTCGCGTAAATCTAAAAGTATACAAGTGTTCATGATATCACATTTTGATATATGCAGGTATTTCTGCCGGAAGAGAAAACACCGCCAGTTGTCGTTCGATATCTTCATCCCTCATTCATGTGAGGACGATGATATCATTAAAATCATTGTTGATTATCTTGAAAACCACCATCCACCATATAGGGTATGTATTGGTGAGAAAAACTTTAAACCAGGTAAAACAATATCTGAAAATATACTCGATGCCATTGAGTCCAGTCAAACAACTTTGCTTGCCATTTCCAACAACTTCCTCAGAAGCTCGTGGTGTAACATGGAGTTTCGTGAAGCTCACATGAGGTTTCTGAAAGACAGGAATATTAATATGGTGCTGATTATGTTAGAGGAATTAGACAACAATCTTATTGGCAAGGAATTAAAATTCTACATGGAATCGCATGTGTACATCAAGTATAGGGACAATCAGTTTTGGGCAAAGCTTTTACATAGCCTTCCTATTATGATTGAACCGTCTGATACCGAAAGATAAAAGTTATTTTAAATAAGATCAGACACTTGACACAAAAATAAACAAGGAAGTTACTTTAAGTATGGGAAATAATGGAAATATACTATACTATAAATTGGTGGCATTTTGCACATAAAAACATTTACAAGTTGTTTATACTACTCGTATTTAAATATCCTTTAGTTAGCTAGATATAATATTATTTTGTTCTTCTTTCGATTTACTTAGTTTTGTTTGTTTGTTTGTATTTTCTGTTAAATACGTTTTCTGAACATACTTATAAAGGTCATTCTGTAGTAAATGATATTTAAGCGCACAGATTAATTTGAATAAGTGTCGAATCAATTAAACCTATCATACGAATATGATATTTATCAAATATGGTCAATGAAATAATTAGAAGCTAATAAGAAGTAATCAATTTAAAAAAAAAACTGAAAAAGAACAGGCGTGACCAATTGTACCTATCTAAAAGGTATAAAGCTATATCTTTTGTTATGATTTTTTATAAAACTAATCAACAGTAATATTATGTTGTTTCAATAATCATTAGTTCGATTGACGATAGATTTGTAACATAGAATGTCTTTGTTATTTAGGATACATGCATAATGAACAAAAAAACTAGACTGCTATTTAAGAAGGGTTTTATCCATTTAGCAATAATTACATGATTTAAGAACAATAAGGTAATGCACTATAATATTGCTTTCATACGAGCCGTTTGGAAGTATTGTTTATTAAACTTCAAACAATAAGTTGTGCAGCTGATATATATAGCTTTATACACTTTAAAAAGATGTTTTTTATATCGTCTGACTGTTCGTTATATTTGTTGACCTAATCAGCGTATGTGCGCGTGGTTTAGTTCTTGTTGCTGGGTCATATGGGGGTTGCGTTCATTGAACGCCGCCTTTCCTTGTTGATCTTGTTTATCATATTTTAGTTACATCCTATAAATGCTCTTAATATACTGTATAATAAATTATATATTTAATGTAAATTATGTTAATATATCAAAATGTTGCTTTATAACAATATATATAATCTAATTACGCATTGTCTTTTTTATAAGTGACATTAACGGGAAACTTGTATTTACTTTTTCCTGTGTCATTTTGGTTCTGTTTATTATTGTTGCTTATTAATACCATGATATCACTTGTTACATAGATAAGCCTGATAAACTTATTTTACATTTATTTTTTGCAAATGTAAGACAATATCCTTATTACATGTATTATCTCTACTTTTTAAGCTCCTTAGTGTTTACCTTCTATTAAAATCAGTTGAGCCATTTTAATATATAATATCAAAGGAGGTCATAGATCAGCCTTTATACTAGTATAACAATATACAAAGTAAAAGTTAAACTTTGATACATGTTTGAGCACCTTAATGGGCAGTTCATAGCAGTTTTAATATTTTATAAGTTATATAGAATATTGACCCCTAGAATGAAAGAAAAACTATTAACTAAGAAACAGTGAAACAGTTCCTCAAGACATATTGTTTTCAGTGTCTGTTTGCTTTCGTGTTTCCATTTGAAACAACATTGGTTTAATCTCTAACAATACCGTCTCTCGGTAATTGTTTATCTTTGTATTTGATTATTTTGATCTCCAATGATGTAAGAACGATACCAAATTGTGGTAGGAAAACAATAAATTGTGCTACAAGATGAGACACTGAGGCACCAATTATTCCCACATATAAAACTTGCGGACTAAAAACGGAGGAAAATGTATTCGTTTACTTTGGTAGTTATAAATTAAAAAACAACTTTTGTTTAAGATATTAGAATCTTTTGTCAGATATGAAATGCATTTGTAAAACAAAATGCTAAGCATAAAGGTGACTTGTTATAACGACAATGTGACGCGGGTCATGTAGCCACTTTCCGAGATTAAGGATGGAGAAAGACTCAAATTATCAATCGTGCCGGGTTTTGCGGCATTAAGAGTTTACTCTATCTAACTATATATGTGTCTTCATATAAATTGCATAATTTTTATGTCTACATGATGTGATTGTGTCATAGTATTGTAAGTAAGTGAATCAGTCCATAATTGAAGGTCTGTTAAAATGTACCATAAATAATTAAAATAAAATCATAAGAGATATAAAAATATGAGAAAAAATATTTGATTTTTGTTTGTTCATTTTGAGATACATAATCTGGTATTACATACCTATATATAGCAGATAATCAATTGTTAGAAAGAAACTGTATTTATTCAGATCTAATAATAAATAACTTCAACATTTTTTTTATCCAGAAATATAAACGTAATAATAATTATCCAATTCTGTTGTTTCTATCAAGCTTTAAATTTGATGGAATGTACATATTGTAGGCCAATCTACTTTAGGAAAAGACAAGTACTACAACTAGTTGTCAAGTCACTACACAATACAATATAATTAACCAGACTTGTGGTTGTGAATGGTTATTAATTCCACGTAATATAAACCTATTAATTAGTGGAAGTAATGATTGCTTATAAAAATGTTTCTCATATTTCACATGAAACAAAGTGAAAAATGCAAAACAAAATAATTAGTGCACAAGCAATTCGAGATTTATTACTGTTCTTTTTATAGTAACAATTACATCAAGAATATTTATGATAAATGTTGTATTTACACGATACATTTCTAGGCAACGTGCAAAATTGCATCGACTTAATTCATTGAAGTGAAATAGTGTTGTTATTATAATGGACTAAGAATAATATTACCTATCACCTGAAACAATAGCGGCGAATACGAAATTTCTGACAAAAGTAGCAAAAAGCTAAAAAGTGATATATTGACTTTCTAACAGAATACTCAATATCACTATAATTGTACGGATTGGCAAAAGTTGCTAATAAAAGCTCTGCTAGGGTAACACAGATAGGGGAGGGATGGCCTAGTGGTTAAGGTGTCTGCCTCTCAACCCAGAGATCATTGGTTCAAGCCCTAAACGGGTCACGACCATGTTTCATGGAAGCGGACTTGAAAGTGATAAATATAAGTTGCAATAAATTGTTTTGCAATCGAGCTTAAAAATATGCTTAAACCAAGTAACAAAGATTGAAAGCTTTTGAAAAATAAAAATATAACAATTTCAGGCGCATAATTGTTTTTAAGTTCTTATTCTTTGTTTCAAGAATGCGTTACTTTTTATTCAAAAGTATGCTTTCAGAAAGAAAATTACAAAATATTTTCTTCGAAAGAAATGTTTCATTTTTAGAATTTTGCTATAAAGATACTTTATTTCTTAAATAAATAATTAGATGTATATATGTGTCAATTATGGCAAAATGTGAAGTTCTTTTTACTTTTGCCTGTACACACACCATTTACACTTAGAAAGGTATAAATGTCACATTTTGGATTGCGTATCAAACACACATCTTCAATATGTTCATGACTGCGGCGATTAAAATTAAATCCCCCTTAATTCTGCCTGGTTATGTTCGACTTCTACGAAGATGGTTTGAAGACCTCGCAAAATCAAAGGAAAAAAGCAAAACAGAGAGACGGGAAGAGAGAGAAAGGTAGCGAGAGAGAGGTCCATAGAGGGAGAAAAAAACAAAAAAAAACACAACATTTATAAATGAAGTATACCATATGTGTTTATGAGATTTCTTTTTAGAATAATATATGGAGGTAGGGGTGCAGGTGTTGTGCATGACATATCGTCTTATTAATATTACTATTTGTGCCAAGTATTTTCAAAATCCCTTGAACTATGAAGAAGTTTTAGAGCGGACACAAAATATACCCTATAACAGACTATGTCAGTCTTTGACCTCTAAGTGTGACCTTGGAGGTAGGGACCCATGTTTCGCACCAGACATATCATCTAATTATTGTGACTATTTGTGCAAAGTATTTTTAAAATCCCTTGATCTATGAAAAGGTTATGGACTGAACACAAAATATACCGTATAACAGACTATGTAAATCTTTGACCTCTATGTGTGACTTTGACCTTGGAGGTAGAGACACATGTGTTACGCATGAAATATCATCTTATCAATGTGACTATTTGTGCAAAAAGTAACAGATTGTGTTCAATTGATGATACATTTTTGAGGCCATATACTCGGATAATACATAAAGATATTTAAATGTAGAAGAAACATTTTAAAATCGAAAATATGCGCCGCAATCTGCTGTCCCGTTCTCGAGTTACTATGATTACCGAGGCATTATGGGCCTTTAAGTCAAAGTGACAATTGTTTGATGCAATAATTTATAAATGCTGAATAAAAAGCGTTTGAAAAAAATATACAAAAAATAAAATAACTTACCGGGGAGAAATGTATTTTTTGTATATATTCACAGGGCATCTCTCGGGTTTGGCTATGTTTTTCGATTGCTCGTGTGATTTTGGGCTGTATCTTACGATGCTGAATTCCCCTTCTGTTTGTTTTGGATACATCCTCGTGATATTCTAAATATCGGCGATTTTGTAAGTCCCGTTTGACTGTGATTTGTCCATTTTCACCAACTCTAAGTGCACGATGTTCCTGGCCTGCTCTTAAAGCAAAATGCAAGCCGAGCGTGTAAAGTAACGTATCTAGAAGCATTTATGGCGTTTCTGTTCCCAGAATGCGTTTGTTCCACAGTTCATTCTCCTGTTCTTCACTTATAATAGCAGCGCTTTTTCGTTGCATACCAAGCCATTGTTTGGATAGCTGCTTCATTTTTGCATCAAGAATACGCCTTTCTTTGATTAACCCCCCCCCCCTTCCCCCGGTCTCCTGTCCCCTTCCCCTTTGTGGGCCTATTATTATTTTCTTTGAATTCCTAATCAGTTACAAATTATTTATCATTTAATGATTAACGTGTCGTTGCCCTGTCCTTTTTATGTTTGGGGTCCGCCTGGGCTCCTTGCCGTTGGTTCTTGTTGCTGGGTCATGTGGGGGTTGCGTTCATTGAACGCCGCCTTTCCTTGTTGATCTTGTTTTTCATATTTTAGTCCATTAAAAGCGGCATGATAAGACTACCTTGCTGTCGAAGATGGT